CCGGATCCACATCCAGCATTGCTGGCTGCCCAGAAGGTGGCAGTGCTGCCGTATCTTCCTCTCCAAAAAGGTCTGGCTCAACCTCCGATGCAGCGATCGACATCCGATCATCGGGTGGTAACCCACGGGAGGGTCCAGCCTATTCCTTGGGCAGCTCTACTGGCTGCGAAGTGCCGGCAGAAGGTTGGTTTCTCAGAAGTGAATTCCTCACCATCACCGTAAGACTAGTCAGGCGACTGCCAGAAGTAGCAGCCCGCCCCTTTGCAGTAAACAGAGCCTGGTCCGCAACTCCAAGACGGTCATTCTCCCGCGATGAGAGCATGACTCGTCCACTCGTCCACACATGTCAGAGCGTAAAGCACGCTGAGGCAGCGATCGTGACCATCACCCGGCACCAAGTAACGACCGCATCCAGAAACGCACGGGTGGAAAGGCATCTTTAAAAAACATCTTTAAAAAGACTCTTTTAGAATTGCTCTTTTAATTTGCTGAAGCGCACAGGGGAGATGGCTGCCTGCAACACAAACAAGGGGTACAGCAGGCAGATGTGTGCAACCCACTCGACACAGGAACCACCGCCGCTGAAGCGCCGTACCGCCAACACTTGAGCTCCAAAGAGCACACGGAACTCGTTCAGTTTCTCTCTCAAGCAGAAAGTCAGGAGCAGAACAGTATAACCACTCGGCTCTGAAGCGGAAAGCTGAGTATGCGTTGTACCCGCTGTCTAATTATACTTGCTCTGCGATCAGCGGCAGCTGGATGCAATCATCGCATGCCAATGTGCATTGGCTCATTTAGTTTACACTTGAAGTAGACTGGTCTCTCTAAGCGAGATCCCAATTCGTCGGTCACCGACGGTCAGTCTCCTGAGCTTAAGAAGAGCAACCACTGAGCAATATTTTTTTCCTCTGGGTAGTAACTGTGCAGTATTCCAAAAAAAGACCAGCTGTCCATTCTGTAGTCTTTTTACTAACGCTTAACTCAAGTTCTCCATGCACCTGAAGTAGATGTTGACCAGATAGTCAAAACAATAAAAACTACACACTTTACAACTTATTCAAATAAATAACTCCAAGTTGCACATGGAAATGAAAGATGTGTAAAAGTGAATTGTTATGAAATCTACCTACAGTAGGTTTATTTAACATGTAGAAAGAAACGTTACAGAAATTCAAGAAAGTGTATAAATAAACATTGCATAGTCTTCACTGTATGAATCAAACATAAACTGATTATTATTAAAGGTCCAAAAGTGATTCAGTCAAGTGGAGTGAGTGATTAACATTAATAATGACAGACAGCAGCAGGTAAATTTAGACTGCTGTCCCTTTAAGAACAACTGTAAGGATCCAGTAAACTGATACACATCCGGTTTTCACCCAAATGTTTACGCTTATTTAACACATAACCAGTGTTGTGAAGTAACTAGTTACATGTAACGGAGTTACATAATTTAATTACAAAATAAATTTAACTGTAATCTGTTACAGTTACTGAAAAAAAAGTACTTAATTTTTTTTTACTATGTTACACTGATTTGCATACCATGGAATACACAATATAGTAAACTCTCTCACAATAGACACTTTATTCCGCGGTAACGATATACAGTATACTGTCATAACGCCCAGCTCTATACCCAGAGCATGACTTAGGAGACTGGAGCCCTGGGGGATGTTCTTCGTACCTCACTTAATACATCTGAGATTATTTGAAAGATGCCAGATCTTCTAATCATGATAACTGATCTCTGGATAATTTGGTTCTTCAAACGAATTTGCAGATTTGATTAAAATATCTGTATTAAGTTGTCTAAGACTACTGCGCGTTCTTGTGATCCCCATAAAGGGCAGATGTATCGATACTTGAAACCACGATCAGCAATGCAGCGATTGGCTGGCGGCAAGTCAGCAACATAATGACATCATATAATTAAAAAAAGACACCTGACGAAAAACTTGACAAATTTCTGGACCTTTTTAGGGAAAACAGCCAAGTGAACAAAACTACATAGATATTATAATAGATAAATTAAATGTGCACTGTTTTTAATTATTTAATTATTTGTTTATTTTTAAACGATTCCCAATTATTTATATTCACAATTTCTGGTATATTTGTACAGGCTTTACATATTTCAATGTTGTAATTAGCAATTCATATAATTGCTATAATTTTATCTTTGAAGCAGATTTGTTATGTGACAGCATTAATTAAAGAGTCAAGATCAGGTTATCTGCATCTCCTGCCCTCCATCAAGCCACTCCCATAATAGCGGTCACCACTCAAATTAATGCACGACTCAGATTAACTGTATAGCATGTGTGTAAGACTCTAATGCAATTATAAAGTAATTATTTTATCATGAATAAGTAATTATTTTATCATGAATAAATCTTTCAATGAGTAAAACTGGCTGTGTCTATAGTATTACACAAACCCAATTCCAAAAAAGTTGGGACACTGTACAAATTGTGAGTAAAAAAAGAATGGAATAATTTACAAATCTCATAAACTTATATTTTATTCACAATAGAATATAGATAACATATCAAATGTTGAAAGTGAGACATTTTGAAATGTCGACAATTTGTGCAGTGTCCCAACTCTTTTGGAATCGGGTTTGTAGATTACACAACATTATCATCCAAAGGAGGAGAATACGAATTACATCATGCAGTTCAGCACCATCTCGCTGCTAAGAGTGGAAGGCAAGGTCTTTTTCAAGATCCTTGCTAACCTACTGATGGAGTACCTCCTAAATAATTTCTATATTGACACCAAGGTGCAGAAATGAGGAGTTCCAGGGATGCCAGGTTGTGTAGAACAGACAGGAGTGGTCACCCATATGATCCGTGAGGCGAAGGAAAACTGAGGAGATCTGTCAGTCATCTGGCTCGACCTGGCTAATGCCTACGGATCTATTCCACATAAACTTGTGACAACAGCTCTGTCTATATATCATATCCCAGAGAAGATCCAAGTGCTCATACGAGACTATTACAGCAACTTCTGCTTGCGATTTACCTCTGGGACAACAACTTCTTCATGGCATCGCCTATAGAAAGGCATCAATACTGGGTGCACTATATCAGTGACATTGTTCACCCTGGCAATGAACATGCTTGACAAGGCAGCTGAAGTGAAATGCAGGGGCCCCCTTTCCAGATCCGGCATTCGACAACCACCGATTCGAGCTTATATGGATGATCTGACTGTCACAGCAACATCAGTGGCAGGGTGTCACTGGCTTCTACAATGACTAGAGACTCTTTACATAGGCAAGGATGGTCTTCAAACCAGCCAAATCCAGGTCCCTGGTCCTGAGGAAGGGAAAAGTGGAGGACATGTACCGCTTCCGCATGGCAGGAGCCTTAATCTCTTAAGTGTCTGAGAAGCCTGTGAAGAGCTTGGGGAAGATCTTAGGTTGTATGGGCATACAAATAAGTTGCAACTTTCCTTCACCAGTCTGGCTGAGATGTTTAAGGTCACAAGAGCCAGGGAAGTGCTATTGTATAGAGATTCCTCTGATTGCAGAGTCGCCTCTGCAGGCATCATAGTCAGGATGGGAAGGAAGTGGCAGGCACGGGAGGCTGTCGAGCGGGCAGAATCAAGGCTAAGGCACAATATTTTGGTAGGCTTTGTCACAGTTGGACGAGTTGGACTTGGTAGCCACCCAACACTTCGCTACGACAAGGCACAGGTCAAAGAGAGACGTCAGCTGATTCAGGGGGAGATTCGTGCAGAGGTGGAGGAGGAGCACCGTTGCAGGACAGTGGCTATGCGCCAACAAGGAGCTTGGACCAATTGGGAGAATGCATCGGCCCGGAAGATCACTTGGAGAGAGCTTTGGAAGTCAGAACCAGCTAGACTCAAGTTTTAGATCCAGTCAGTGTACGATGTCTTCCCAAGCCATCCAAACTGTATAGCTGGGGACTAGCAGAGACTCCAGCATGTCCACTTTGCCTGGCGAGAGGTTCCTTGGAGCACACATTGAGTTGCTACCCTAAAGCCCTGGGAGAGGGGAGGTATAGATAGCGCCATGACCAGGTGCTGAAGGCAGTAGCTGACACCATCTTCTCAAGAATCCAGCAGAGTAAGCACCAGCACTCTGTGAGTCATAACATAGCCTTCGTCAGGGCTGGGGAAACACCTCTGGCAGAATACAAGGTTCCAACAGGACTTCTAGCCAAGGCTCGTGACTGACAGCTGAGAGTGGACCTTTGGAGGCAGCTCAAGTTTCAAGACAGATTGCAAGTATGTCACTCATGCCTGACCTGGTCTTAACATCTGACGCCTCAAAGCAAGTGGTGCTGCTGGAGTTGACAGTTTCCTGGGAGGAGCGGATAGAGGAGGCCCACGAGCGGAAGAGAGCTAAGTACCTCAAGCTGGTGGAAGCTTGCAGAGGAAGCGGGTGGAGGGCCCACTGTGAACCTATCGAGGTGGGATGCTGGGGATTTCCAGGGCAGTCTCTTCACCAGGCCTTCAGGCTCTTTGGTATTAGAGGTTTACAACTGAGAGAAGCCACCAGGAACATCAGTGAAGCCGCTGAAAATTCCTTGCAGTGGATGTGGATCAAAAGGGAAGACCCATGGTGTAGCGCGCTGCTTGGACACAAACCGGGGACTGATCACCCCCGGTTGGGTTGCCGAGGTGAGGGTGACTGATGATCAAAGACCCGAAACACCCTATGAACCTGGGTTCATCAAGCTGGGTGTCCAAGCTGCACCATCCAGACATAGATGGTGTTTCTTCAAACTAATAATATTATTTTCAAATTAATTTTTAAATGATTATTATTAAAAAAATTATTGTCCCTGGATTATTAGGGTACTCTTGTAATAAAGTAGCAGTGGCTGGGACAGATTTTAAATATAAATTCCACTTAAAAAGTTGCAATCTAATCCTGTTTACATGAAATAAGCCTGCTCCCGAGCAGGTTTAAGTTTACGGACCTGTTGCTATTGCTATAACAGCAAGTCCAGGATGAGCTTCGAAGAACCAAATAATCCAAGATCATGCCAAATCGTCAACAATCAAATCCAGCTAACTGAGTTAGTGACATACTAAGAACGGGCCCCTGGGCTTAACTGTCTGAAACAGGTGTCATTTTATCATTGTCAGTCTGTGACAGACTTTTCATTATAATAGCACAAACAATAAATGTAAGTAAAAATATTGGTAGTTGTAACAAACTGATCACAAATATTGCAAGTTTAGTTTATTTTGAGCATGCAGTACGATGGTTAAATATCTACTGAATATTTTAACCCAGGTCCAGGGTTGGGAACCACTGCTCTATTGAAATGGTCATTTCTGTGATGCAACAGTTGACAACTTCAATATTTTTCACCACTCCAAGTTCCTTAGAAAATGTATTTTATTTCTAGTTTTACCTGATTTAACTGCACCAAAAAAAAAATTCAAGCAATTTGCTCTTTACCTTTTCTCTGTAAACTGAGGCATAGCTTCTCTTGTAAATGTTCTCGAAATACTGTTGGTATAATGGAGAGGTATCTCACATTATCTGTCTTAAAGGGGTCATATGATGCGATTTCAAGTTTTCCTTTCTCTTTGGAGTGTTACAAGCTGATTGTGCATAGATAAGATCCCTGAAGTTGCAAAGACTAAAGTCTCAAAACCAAAGAGATATTCTTTATCAAAGTTAAGACTCTGCCACACCCCCCTAAAAGTACAGTATTTGAAAAATAATGTGTTTTTTGAACATTAAAGCATGTCAACATATTCTGTTACACCAAATAATGATCTTTAAAAAAGCATCATATGACCCCTTTAAATTGTGGGAAGCTAAATGAATCATGTGAGAAACTTTGATTATTCTCTATAATCAAAATGAAGTTGTTTTAGCAATCTTTTCTCGTCATTCATTTATTAAATCAAGTGTAAATTACATTTAATAATTCTAGAATATTTACATTTTAATAATGTACATTGTGGTTTTAATAAATAGTGGATTGACTTCAAACTACAAACATTTGTGTTACAATTTTACAAGGATAAATATGTAAAGGATGTAAAAATATACTGCTTATTTGTTTACAGACATGAAAATATAATCAAGGTCAATTTATTTGTATATTGCTTTTCACAATACACACTGTTTCAAAGCAACTTTACAGAAAGTTGTACTGTAGGGCTTAATGGGCATAATGCTTTTAACATTGAGCAGTTTTAGGGCTGGGCGATATGTCAATATATGTTGATAATATAAATGATCCAACATTTGCAATTTATCTCTACTGAAACATAAATCAGTGCCACTTTTAGTAATCACGACTGCATGAAATTACTGACATCAAAGAGCAGCAGAGAGAAGATTTGATGGTGTAGACACAGAATGTGTTGAGTTAATATAATCATATACCCAAAACGAATAAAATAGTTTTAAGTAAGATTTCACAATTTTACATCACAGTAATGTAAAACTATTTATTTTGTGTTTGTCTTCCCATTATGTATTTTTTAGTGTTTCTCTCTGGATGTAAAAGGATGATGTAACACTTTGGGGCAAATATGGCCACCAGTAATCCAAAACTAGAAGCTAAAATGGCAAAAATCTCCACAGCCACTGCATATTTCCCTGGTGAGCTTACATAAGCTGGAACAAATGCAATCCACACAGCACAGAAGATCAGCATGCTAAAAGTGATGAATTTTGCTTCATTAAAATTATCTGGAAGATTTCTTGCCAGGAAGGCTAACAGGAAGCTTACTGCTGCCAAAAGTCCAATGTATCCGAGCAGCATAGAAAAAACAGCCGCTGAGCCAATAGCACATTCATAGACAATTATAGAGCGAATATACAGGTTATTTTTATAGGGTGCTGGAGAGGCAGTTGATAGCCAGACTGCACATATCACAACCTGGAGGGCTGTTAGGACCAGAACAGTGCATCTTTGTTGAGCTGCTCCAAACCATTTCATTGCACCTTTTCCCTCTGGTCGAGATGCCTTGAACACGGCTATCACCACCATAGTCTTGACCAGGATGCTGGAGATACACAGGACAAAACTAATGCCAAACATTGCATGTCTTAACTGACACGTCCATAACTGTGGCCGGCCAATGAACAGCAGCACACACAGGAAACACAGTTTGAGTGACAAAAGCAGCAGGAAGCTGAGCTCTGAATTGTTGGCACGTACTATGGGAGTGTTATGGTGATGAATGAAGATGACCATCACAAGAACACAGGAGCAGGTGCCAAGCAGGGAAGCAGTGGTCAGAGAGATTCCCAGAGGTTCCTCATAGGATAGAAACTCCACTTCTTTAGGGACACACTGATCATTATTTGGACTGGACCAGAACTCATCTGGACACACCATGCACTCAATAGCATCTGTGAATCAGAAAAGAAAGGAAATTACTTTCAAATTATATTCAGTTTTTGCCAATAATAATCTGCTCACCTGTTGCATTAGAAATCTCTCCATCTCCACATGGCAGGCAGTCAAAACAGCAGACAGGAAGGCCCTTCCTTGTGGCTCGTCTGGTTCCTGGGGGACAGCTCTCACTGCACACAGAACATGGAGGCTAAAAGAGACATCATCTGTCATCAGTCATACGTTTGTCATCGATTTAACATAATGACTAGCTTTGCCTTCTTCCTTTAATTTATTCTCATTTGTCTTATCATAGCTTTGAATAGTATTTAGACTTTAAGCAAAAACAAACAAAAAAATAAGAGAGCGAGCGAGCGAGAGAGAGAGAGAGAGAGAAAGAGAGATTAATAGGCAATGTTACTTTTTTTGTTTCAAAGTTCCAGTATATTGCATCTTCATCCAGTGTCAGCACCATCCCTGTTTCAACCCCTTCATTTACTACACCGACCGTGTAGATCCTTATTGCTCCATCAGAGCTTGGCTGCCAGTTCAGCACATCATAGATGGCCAGAGCATCTCCATTCTTATCAAATGACACATGATCCCCAAAGCCTGTGGTGAAGTTCACTTTCTGTAGGTAGTGAACCAGCTGTACAGTTTGTAGAAAGGACAGGTGTTATGTGCTTATCTTAAATTAATATAGATGACATATTTCCACCTTTAACTTTTTACATGCCTGGAGAGAATCTGCACTATATTAGTGAGTCTTACCTGCCAGGGTTTTAGATTGGTAATGTCGGCACATTTGTTCCCACTGAATGGTCCTCTCCCCACCTCACACTGCATCAGGTCATGAAGTGCATGTGCCAGAGCATAAACTGCCTTATAGACATTATAAGCTGCTCTCAACTCTGACACATCAGTGTATGGTGTGTTTGTGGTGCTCAGATCCTCCTCTCCTGTACACACCTTTTTCACTTGCTCTCCATCAGTCTCTTTATCCCTAGTTTCAAAACTGCACCCAAACATGTTCTCCCAGAAGATCCTCAACATATTATTTCTTGGATCACTGTTGGTCCGAAGCTGTAACAGAAAGTCATGAAGACCCTCAATCTCCCCACGTCTGATAGCAATGCCTAGTGTGCCCCCAAGGAAAGGCAGGAAACGTGGAGTGTGAAACACAAGTGAAGTAGCCCAAGATTCACTCGCAATCCATTGTCTGCCTGTTATGTTCAGCAACACCACGCCTTCCATCAAAGGTATTACTAAGGATGCAGGGGAAAAAACAACAACCACTCTAGCTGTAGAGGCCTGAATCACTCCTGTTATATGCTGAGTATATCTCGGGTTGTTATCATAGGGCAGAATTTCAGAAAAAGCAACACAATGTCCAGATAGCTGCATTTCCTGATGGAAGGACTGAGCAGCGTAGATACCATAGTCATCATCACTGTAGAGGAGACCAACCCATGTCCATCCAAAATGCTTCAAGATCTGAATCATGGCTTGCACCTGGAAGGCATCACTAGGGATTGTTCTGAAGAAAGAGGGGTACTTTTTCCTGTCACTCAAACAGGAGCAGGTGGCGTAGTGACTGACCTAATTAGAGCAGAGGAAGAGGGCATTAGACAGAGAAATAGCATGATGATCAAAAATAAATAAATAATTTACCAGTGCTTTTGTAATGTTTTCATAGGCAAACAGATATAAGCAAAAATATGCATATAGTGTATTTTTACTTTTTGTATCCCATCTTACTATAGGTACTCGAAACAGCCCCAGAACACTGGAAATCGCAATGGATGGAGTTGAACTTGGATCCCCCACAATCCCAATCACCGGAGGAGGGCCAGTACAATTAAGGTTAGAGGATGACTTTTCTGTCCCACTAACTAGGGATATGGCAGCTCGGAATGCCATTCCTAGCATCACACAGTTGTCATAAAGATGGTAACCAAGAGTGATATTGGGCAGCAGATTGGGATTCTTATTGATCTCATTTATTGCAAAAGCCATGGTCTGTGCATGCTGGAAGCTTTCCATATTAAATCTAAGGAATGAACAAAGTAAATAAATAAATATATTAAAAATAGATTAAAAGCTACAGGATGAATTGAAATATCATTAATACATAGCAAAATATCAGAGTTCACAAGAGGTACATTCTGGTGCACATTTAATTAAATACACAGTGGGTTCAATACAGATGTTTTGTCAAGATAGTATTGCTGCTGTTATCACATCATTTGAGCAAATTAACTGAGGCAAAAAGGGCAAGAAAATCATAACATTTATATTTATTAAATATTAATTATATTATTATTTAATCTTTCTCTGTTTTTTTTCATAGTCATGCTGTCAGTTTGACTCACATTTCACAATATGGTTCCTCTGGTTCTGTTCTGAAGCTCAGCTCTGGGAATACTGTGAAAAAGTGAACTTCAAACAGGCCTCCAAGTATAACATCTCCATCCTGATACACCCCATTCAGCCTGAAGCGTCTCTGGAGCTGACATGTGTCTGATCTGAGGACTGAATCTGCAGAGATACAGTCAGTGAGCAAGTATAGAGAAATATACAGAATGAACCACATCATGCCCTCTTTCTGAGCCACTCACCCTCTTAGCTTGTATGGGGTGTTGCTTTAATAGTGCAGGCGTTGCCAAGTGGGAATACCTGGAAAGCAGGACGTCATCTTCCCATCCCCTTATGATTTTTAAAATATATTTTTTTATATAGATTAAGAAATATCAACTTTGCTTTAGTGTTTTCTTTGCTTCTAGGGTATTACTGGCATGTTTTTCAAAGACAGTATAGGAGGGGACGTTCTCGCAACCTTGCACAACGTTCCCTAAAAATTCTCTAAAGGTGACGAAAGTCCCGAACCTTTACAGAACATTAGGGACGTTCCTAAAATGTCCTCTTTTGGTTATGAAAGTGCTGGAGCTTAATGTTCCTTATATGACTTTAGGACTTTAGGTTATACGTCACATAAGAACGTTACAAAGAGGACATTTGGGACATTAACAGAACGTTCCCATATGGTCCTCTTTTAGTCATATAATAACGTTCCAGATATGACTTTAGGAGGACGTTCCATTTTGGTTATTTTTTGGTCACATGAGAACGTTACTAAGAGGACATTTGGGACGTTAACAGAATGTTCTCACATGGTCCTCTTTTAGTCATATAATAACATTCCGAATATGACATTAGGAGGATGTTCTTTAATAGAAAGTTCAGAAGAACAGCATTTATCTGAAATATATATCTTTTGTAACATTATAAATGTCTTTATCATCAATTTTGATCAATTTGAAGCATCTTCTAATATTTCTATAATTTCTTTCCAAAAAAAAATAAAAATTATAAACATTATACTGACTCCAAGCTTTTGAATGGTATAGTGATAAATGCTGATCTTTGGATATTTCTATTAATCAAAGGATCCTGAAAAAATTTACTAAACTGTGTTAAATATTGATAATAATAATAATAATAATAATAAATGTTTCATGAGCAGCAAATCAGCATATTAGAATGATTTCTGAAGGTTTATGTGACACTGAAGACTGGAGTAATGATGCTGAGAATTCAGCTTTGATCACAGAAATAAATTACATTTTAAATGTTTTCAAATAGAAAGTAGTTATTTTGAATAGTAAAACTATTTCACAATATTACTGCTTTTGCTGTACTTTGGATCAAATAAATGCAGGCTTGGTGAGAAGAAGAGACTTTTTAAAAATATATTAATAATCTTACTGTTCAAAAACTTTTGACTTTGAAGTTTATAGTTGTAAATATATTTATAAAAATATTTTTGTTATTAGGATATACAAACATATTTTATAGCAGGAAACTTTTCTAAACAATTGTGTTTAACCCAAGCATGAAGTATAGAAATAATCAAATTGCGAATATTGTGTATTAAAAAAAATAATGTGTATTAAAAATGTCAATGTTGCACACGGAAAAGTAAAAATAAATACATGTGGGAATATATATATATATATATATATATATATATATATATATATATATATATATATATATATATATATATATATATATATATAT